ATAATAATAATAATAATAATAATAATAATAATAATAATAATAATAATAATAATAATAATAGCATAATTTAGTTATACAGCACAAAATCCCTCTCAACAGCAAGCTCTGGGAAAAAGACGGTTTATGGAGAAAGTAAGTATGTAAGTAAGCAAGCTCTGGGCGCTTTACAATCGTATTACCCCAGCAGACCTGATAGCATCCTGAAACAATCGCAACTTCCTACGATTCCAAAAGATATATAGGCAAAGGGCTCATTGTTTTTCAAAGATGGCCGTTAGATTATGTGACATTTTAGTGAAATAACTCAATTCTGTCGTTCTGAGGATTGTAACGACACGAGTTGTGAGCCCACTATTTTGCTGCATCTCTGAACCAGATCTTTGAGGACGCCAGCAGGAGAAAAAAACCCTGTACAATATACACGTATACTCAACATCCTACATCCTACTCTTGTGAGGCAACCAATGACGCATCACACTGCAGATGATGGCAGCTAATGTGTGTTTTCTGATCACATGTCAGAAACAGAGAGTGTCAGCTGCTATTTAACCTTATTATTCAATGACACGTAACTAATTATAGATAATGAAAGCCGTCATGTATTATCCAATGAAATGTCACAAACAGATAGCGGCAGCTGCAAAGTGTTATCCAATGACATGTCACTTTAATAGGTAATGGCAGGTGTCATGTATTATCCAATGACAGATCACAAACATATAGTGGCAGCTGCCATTAGGCCTATGTATTATCCAATGACATTCCACAAATAAATAACGGTAGCTGGCATGTGTTATCTAATTACATGTCACAGACAGATAGTGGCAGATGTCAAGTGCTGTCCAATGACATGTCACAGACAAATATATAGTGGTAGCTGTCATGTGTTATCCAATGACATGCCACAAATAAATAATGGTAGCTGTCATGTGTTATCTAATTACACGTCACAGACTGATATTTAGTGGTAACTGTCATTTGTTACTCAGTGACAAGTCACAATGATGTGTTATTCAAGGTTGCGACACACATCAGTGTTATTCAGAGAAAAAAAAAGTCAACTCTTAAACTAATAGTATGTGTCCTTGGGGCAAGTATTTCCTCAAGTGCAAGAATATTATCTGTTTATTTTCTATACTAGCTTGCTCTATAGAACTGTCTAAGTGAGGAAAATATTTCTAACTTTACAAACAGAGTGCAGCTTTTCTCTTCGAGTCATAGAATAAATAGCAAATACCCCCCCCCCCCCCCTTTTTCATACACACAGCGAACAGCTCTTCTCTTCTAGTCATCGAATAAACAGCAAAAGACCCCCCCCCCCCCTTTTTTTTTTTACACCCACACTTTTTGTTCACTCAACACATTTATTTCAATCAAAGTGAACTACGTTTCTCCTAATTATCGTTTCTTCCGAACTCTGTGTATGTGTATGTGTGTGTGTGTGTGTGTGTGTGTGTGTGTGTGTGTGTGTGTGTGTGTGTGTGTGTGCGTGCGTGCGTGCGTGTGTGTGTGTGTGTGTGTGTGTGTGTGTGTGTGTGTGTTTTGTTTTGATTTAAATATCTTATATTCTTGATGTACATGTTATATAATATGTAAACTGTTGCACACTACAATGAAAATATAAAAACCGAATAAGGCGAAAACCGAGAAAACCAACTCTGGACACTAAATCTTTCCTCTACGAAGAAGAGTTTCAAGGGATGTCGGAAAGAGGGAGAGAGAAAAGAGAAAGAGCCTCTCAATTACAACAATGAATTTAAATATAAACGCGACGCAGTGTTCATAAATATTTAGCTGCAGTCTTTATATTGTTTTGGGTTTCCAAAACGCTTGCTTTTTATATTCAGGCAAGCCTTAATACTAAGCACAATGGACTTCGAGTTCAAGATGAAGACCGGGTCGGAGAGAGCCAGAGTCGAAGATGAGTTCGAGTATGAAGGCTGCAAAGTTGGAAGAGGGACGTATGGCCATGTATACAAAGCGAAAAGAAAGGACGGGTAAGCATATTCTGTGGATATGAATATTGAAACAGATAGCCTGTAAATCGCACATGCTCAGCTGGAAAAGAAGTAGATTCGGAAGGACTTCCGTAATGAGCTACCACCCCATCAAGAAAGTGGCTATTCTCACCCGCCCGGAAGTTCTCGCAAGATCTACTCCTCCCCTCTTCTTTCTCTCTCTGTCTCTTTCTGAATACTGTCTATCGGTGTGGACGATCAAATTGACCAAAACAAAGTTAAAAAATGATGTTAAAACACAAAAGTAAATTAATTTGGTTGTCTACAAAGATGCTACGGCTATTTAACTTTTCGAATCGAGCCGAACTACGCGGGTCGCCATTTTGTTTTGTTCTCTCTCTCACTCTCTCTCTCTCCCCTGCCCACAGACAAAGTTGTACGCTTTTAGTAGGCTACAAGTACAGTTGTAATGGAACATTTGTTCACAGCACAGAATTCTACAATTTTTCTGTTATCACAGTGTAGAATTCTGTGGTTTAAGTTTAGGGTGAACGCAAAATTTGTTGACACGCGCACCGGGTGAGAATAGCCACAAGACCCGCCTGCACTATTCTCACCCCGGGTGAGAATAGAGGTGGCCCCCCATCAAACACATAAAGTAAAGAACCTAGACCTAACCCTACCCCTACCCCTTACCCTAACCCTAACCAGACTGTCCTATCGGAGATGGACGTTAAACTAGGAGGTCCTGCCCTTTAAATAACCTAGTAGTGTTGATAGGGGCGTTTAAAAACCTATATCATTTTTAACCCTAACCCAACATTTACCCCTACCCCTACCCCAAGCCCTCAATTCTGCTCTGTCTCATAGTGCTCGCTCGTTACGGAAGTCCTCCCGTAGATTCTATCATTATAATTTAAGAGCTATTTTCTACGCCAGAGTTGGAATGACATTCATTTTCATTCATCATTCATCATGCCCCCAATTAATCAACATGTCATGGATGGTCATGTCTCCGGTGATCTTGTAGTTCCGTTCGTTAAAGTCCACCTCCCATTTGTTTACATCCAGAGAGGAAATCCGGAAGTCTTGATGACCAAATAGGCAACTCAAAGAACAGGGATGCAACCTAATAGGGGGTGCCCACATACGCGATCGGGTCGGGTCGGGGTTTCAGTACACACTACAAAAGCCCCGCCACGATTGTACCCCCGACAACCTAGAAGTTAAAGTAGAGAAACCTTTAACCTACATGCAACTACACAGAGGGCGTAAACCGGGCTACGATTGGCTGGACCTTTGACTCATGAAATATTATAATATATATTCCTTACCGTACTCTTGGACTTCCCGCAATCCCTCTCTCTGTCTGTGTGTGTGTGTGAGTGCTTGCTTGTACTAACTTGCTTTAGTGTCTCTCTCCTTTCTTGTCTATTTCTCACTTCCCATATTAGAGACCTAAATCTAGATCTAGCAATGTAGATCTAGATCTAGGTCTCTGCATATATCTCTCAACTTCTCTCTCCCTCCCTGTCACTCTCAACACCCTCCCTCTGTAGTGCTCTTCCTCCTTCTTCTTATTTGTCTCCTTCTTCCTCTAGGCCTATGAGCACTCCAAACCCGCTGTGCGAAGCAAGAAGACAGTCAAAGGCGTGAGACCGAAACCGGGTATTCCCAGAGTACCTACTTAATGTATTCATGGGTCAAAATGGACACGTGACTCAGCATTGTTGTAATTGGCTGCAATCCACCCGGTCACGCGATTCGCAGGCCAGAAAACAAACGCGTTTGTTTTTGTAGCTCACCGGTCGTGTCGATTGGTTTGTGCCACGATGGCCGCTTTGCGCCCTCAATTTGGCTAGCCCTGACTACCCAATGGGCCGGACCCGACCTGATCGCGTATGTGGGCACCCCCTATAACAGCGAAACATACATCAAATTAAGATGAAATTCAGGGGGGCATGAACCCCCCCATATAAAACTAGGTCAGGGGGGCAAACCCACCTGAAACCCCCCCCCTACTCTTGACTCTTGGGGCCCAAACCGGCAAATAATGATTGGGGGTGGGAACTGCCGAAAAGGGCCATTCTTTGCTTAAATTTTGCTTTTCTCCTGAACGATTACCTGGCAATTCAGGGTCTCTGGCGTTCAGCTTTGGACTTAAACAGACGAAACTACAAAATCGCCATGTCTCCTTCTATGTTATCTGACTCTATGATGAATGAAAAATGGGGAGGAATTCCGTAACGAGTGACCACTATCAAACAGATTAGAATAGAGGGTTTGGAATAGGGGTAGGGTTAGATTCTAGATCTAGATCTAATGTCTAGGTCTTTCTTTTCGATAGTTGGAGTGGTCGCTCGTTACGAAAGTCGAAGTCCTTCCGAAAAATTAATTCTGTAGACAGTATGAAACAGATAGCCTGTAACTGTAAATCGCATAATTTATGCACAGCTGGAATAGAAGTAGAATCTACCATTCTAAATATATTCTGCACCAGAATTAGAATGACCTCATGTCATCAAATGCTTTGACTCAAATTTGACTGACTCACGTGACCTAACCTCACAATGATACGAAATGGGAAAACAGATCTAATCTAATATTAATTTTGTGTTGTATTATTTCCAGAGAACATCGACATGACTATGCACTGAAACTTATTGAAGGCACAGGGATATCAATGTCAGCCTGCAGAGAAATAGCTGTGAGTATTGAATTATTCGTATTCATGGGATGACTTCACTGAGCAAAGACCTTTCTCTTGCAACTTTATAATTTAATGCAACATCTTAAAGCTAAAGGTTGGTGAAGTTTCTGTCTCAAGCCTTGGGTCAGATCAGGTGTAATGTTTTCCCCCAAGATATATAATTTAAAAAACCTAACTTGAAGTGTACTCTACAAATATTATATAATCACTTTTATAATATTATAATCATAACCATTTTACTTTTTACTGAGATATAGATCTGTAAGAGAGAAAAAAATATTTGAAAGGTGCTTTGTGCACTCATGTGACCTTGTGCAGTTGGGAACACCGCAAAACTCTTACTAAACTTTTTTTTAAACTACTAAAAGGGGCTTTAAAGATCTGTCCTGCTTTGGTGAGAGAGTATCAGATTTGAGAATGAAAAATCAGTCAGTCTGTGTGTGTATTTTTGCCACACATCCCTCTTACTGAATATTTATATACATGACATGGACAGAATAATTTGAAAGCTTCTCTCTGATTTTTTTCTTAAAATCTGACCACATTCTGTTATGAAAAAGAAATATTGAAACTCATGGTCCATCCTGCTGTGTTATTTATTCCTCTACAGCTGCTGCGAGAACTGAAGCACCCCAATGTAATTAGTCTCCAGAAAGTCTTCCTGTCACACTCAGATCGAAAAGTCTGGCTACTGTTTGACTTTTCAGAACACGATTTATGGGTAAGGCTCTGCTAAAATTCCAGGGATTTTAGATGTTGAAAAGTCCACTCTTGTTCTATCCATGATGAATTATGCATTAAAAATTAGCAAATCATATTCTCAAAGAGATATATAAGTCGTGAGAGCTGGTTCTTTTCCCTGCCCCCAATGTCTGCCACTCAAGCGCAGATAATTTGACTTTGACTGGAAACCACCAAGATTTCATTGATTGATCTGTGTGTAGTAGTTTTTCTTTGTCAAAGTCCACTCAAAATAGATTATTTAATGTATTTATTTTCTAGAAGTTATTTTAACTTTTTGTCTTTTGTAAACCAGATTGCAGAGGAAGGGAGGATCATTCAAGATAAAAGGGAAAAAACTCATTGTTTTTTAGTACAGTCTGAACTTATTTTTGGTGCTGATTGCATCGTTAAACTCGTGGTCAGAAGTAGTGACAAACTGTAATACTGTGATGGAAATCAGGATCCAGGGTGGCAGGGCAAAGTACTCATTGCAATATCTCTGTCATTTGCAAAAAATTTCACTGTTGATATCGGATTGGTGTAGTCGATTATTCTCATGATAATCAGGTCACTCATAAGTTTGCACGTGTTTATGAAACTCTGCCAGTTAGAATGTTGAAAAAAGCTACTGATTTGAGGAACTGCTTAACCAGAATTGTGTGATGGTAAACAATGTCATGCATGGTAAGGAGTGCAAGGAACCAAGAAACTCTTCTTTTTACATGAATATATTCCTTTAACCTTCTATCCTGTCAAGCCTACAAGCTGATCTTATGTGAAATCTAAGAGTGTCCATTATTTTTTTAAAGTGGAATGATTCCTTTTCTTTTTTTTTTTTTTTTCTTTTTGTTTCCTTGAATGGAATTCTGATTTATGTCAAGAAAAAAATGAGGTAACATCTCATCTTATATTATGTGATGGGTAATACAACAGACTTCTTCGCACTGATGTATTTATCCTTTGTTTCAGTTATGCTTTATTATTTTTAATTTCCTTCCCTGCAGCATATTATCAAGTACCACAGATCTGCCAAAGCGAACAAGAAGCCTATCAATACACCCAAGAACATGGTCAAGTCGTTACTACATCAAATTCTTGCCGGCATTCACTACCTCCACAGCAACTGGGTTTTACATCGAGATCTCGTAAGTTTGGAGTTATTGTTCAGTAAACAAATTGTAAATCAGTATACTATGCTGTTGATTTTATTTTAACTGCAGTAGGAAAAGGCATTGTTTGTCAAGAAAGTATCATTATATGACAAGAAGTAAGATTTACTTTCTTTCAAACCTTTTTTTTTTTTTTTTCAACTATTTTGCATTTAAGTGAGTGGTTAGGATTGATCCAAGATGGTGATTAGTGTTCTTAAAAGTTTTGATCAAAATCAGGTTTTTATATTTTTCATCCTTGAGTGTATTGACTTGCGTTTTGTTCTAGCGGTGATGCAAATACTTAGCAAATGTTTAGAATTATATGTGAGTATATGCATACCCACACATCTGAGTTTAGTGGAGTGGGAATCATGAATTGATACTGTAGCTGTAGAAGTATTCTTGAATTTACAGTACTGTAATTCAATGGAAGGTTAATAAGCTGCTTTGCTGTCTCCACTACGTCATCGCCATTTTCAATCATTTTTTTTTGTTCCAGAAACCTGCCAACATCCTGGTGATGGGAGAAGGACCAGAGAGAGGAAGAGTGAAAATAGGTGAGGTTTTCAAAAATGACTGGCTATTTTATGTTACTTTTGATTGACTGAATTTGAAGGAAATATATACATAATAATAATGATAGATAGCATTTGTACAGCGCAAATCCCCGCTCAACAGCAAGCTCTATGCACTTAACAATCTATACTATTACCCCAGCAGACCTGAGAGCATTCTGAAACAACCTGAACTTCCTTGGAAGCATACAGTGCAAGCTGCCATATAGGCACTAAAACACTAACATACTGACAAAACACATACTCATAAGCTGAAAGAAGGAAAACTCAATGCTGTGTTTCAGATTGGGCTCGAAGAAAACTTTTTAAAATTGTGTAACTGTCGGTGCTTAATTCTTGTTATACTGTATTTGACATTTATCTGGCAAGAGTACAAAGTAATACTATTCATGGAAATCATTAAGGCAGGTTATTTTTTAATGAGAATGGCCAATATGATTTATAAGTTGCATGTTGTCACTAGTACATAATGAGGTGGTCCATTGGACCGTTTTTTTAAAAATAGGGTCAATTATAAACTTTTTTTTTTTTACAGCAACAAACAATGTACCCTTATATTCTCGTCTATAGGGTAAAACATAAATACTTATGTCTCTTCCTCTTTTGGTCCCTTTCTTTGGTCCCATGTTTTTATTGTTCTTCTCTGTCTCTCTCTTTCTGCTTCCTTCCTTCTCTCCGTCTCCTTCACCTTCAGTCACACAGGCGTAATCACACAAACACATTGGTGTATCTTCTCATACACACTCTTCCGGCAGAATATAAAGAAACAAAAGAAAACTTTTAAGATGCTAACCATTCATCCCATCATAGTTCACAGCAAGTGTTTCTGATTGTATGGACCTGGACATTGGTCGTGACAAAAATGTGTAGTATGATGTAGTGTCAGTCTTTTAGGATATTTGTGTTTTCTTCTGCATGTTCACCGGTTTTGATTCTTCTTTTTCATTTCTTTTTTCTGAAATGTTGCTTTTAATTTTTTGTCTCCCCCTCCCCAAACAGCTGACATGGGTTTTGCTCGTCTCTTCAACGCTCCACTCAAACCTTTGGCGGATCTTGATCCAGTTGTGGTGACCTTTTGGTACAGGGCTCCAGAGCTGCTCTTGGCAGCAAGGCATTATACCAAAGCTATTGGTAAGTGTAGAGACACCCTTCCTGAAAGTTTTATCTCACCAAGTCTGCATGTTCTGATTCTTGATTTGCTCAGCAGGACGAAGTGTTTTGAGGTATTTTCCAAAAGTTCTGTGGAGGCCCCATATAAAGATAGCAGTATACTGGTTGTCAGTTCATATTCCTTATATTCTATATAAACAGGAGCCAAATGACTGCTACTCTACTAATGCTTACCACCAATGTTTTTCTGTGAGAATGGGAAACCTAAGGCATAATATTAGTTTTTAAAATATATTTTGTTCTACCATAACGGACAGACTGAAATTACCTCTTTACCTACAAGTCTGATTCTTTAAATGTTTTTAAGGCTATGATTTTGTGTAAAGACTAGATTTTTATGAGGGGCTGTGACATGGTGTTGAAAGCAAAATCATTTCAAAAAGATAACAGTACCATGAGACCTTTGGGAAGTATTCGTATTCTTGTTTTTCTGTCTTTTTGAGTACATTTTTCTGGCTCTTTTAAAGTGAAGAATTTTGTTCCTCTTTGTTACAGATATTTGGGCTATCGGCTGTATATTTGCGGAGTTGTTAACGTCCGAGCCAATTTTTCACTGTCGGCAAGAAGACATCAAGACTAGCAACCCTTACCATCATGACCAGCTGGACAGAATCTTCAACGTGATGGGCTTCCCACAAGGTAAAAACCATTCATATTATTTGTTTGTGTGTGTGTGAGTGTATGTGTTTGTCTCAGTTTTGGCGTATTCAAGTGTCTGCTTGTAAAGTACATCAAGCATTAATGGTGTTTTTTCTCATGGGAATAGTTACTTTTTGTCCCGTAGCCCAATCCTAAGACACCTTACTATTTGTATACTTTTGTGCACATGATGTGTTCTCAACAGTCAACACAGAGGTATGATAAGTCTAGTTTTGTAGATTGTAGACTGTACGTTGTTGCTATCTATAGTTATGATTCACTTTCTCCAAGGAGACTGTCTGACCACTGACTGTAGTGTCTTTAGGCCATTCCCAAAGGGGGGACATTTCTCGTTCAAGCACAGTAGAATTGTAAATGGGCTGATTCATCATGTCGCGCTCATAATTGTGCCTGAAATGCAGCAGGGAACTGCTGCTTTTTCTTTCCTAATCCTTACTATTGTCATTTTCCTCTACTTCTTTTGTATGTTTGTCACTCTCTTGTGACCTGCTATGTCCGGGGTGCCTTGATAGTCGAAGCAGACCTTGTGCTGTTGAAGCTAGAGAGGTGAGCAGAGTAAGTCTGATTCCCTGTAAAGGCTTCTCTGTTGACACCCACCCCTTGGCGCTCATATGACCTTATGCAGTTGCGAGCGCCATAAAACCCTCTACTAAATAAATAAAATAAAACTGTCTGAGATTCTTCATGTGAAGTGTAGGTTCAGAATAATTTTCAGAAAGGAATAGTTACCTTGTTATCTTATGTTCAACTAAATCTCATCCCTATCATTTATTGTTAGGAGTATTTTGATCACAGTGTTGGCGTTATCTCCATAGGACTTCCTCTTGTCTTTTGTAGGCTCTTTTGTTTTGTTTTGTTTGTGCTTTTTTCTTTGCTTGAATGTCGTTGCAGCCTTTTTTCCCTCAGATGAGTATCTTCAGAATTACCAAATCTTGGTCTTTTCACTATGATGAACTATGAACTCGGCTTTTGTGGTTATTTTAGAGTATGTTGTTACGATCTATTTTGTCACATATTTTTTTTATTTTCAGTTTTAAGAAAAGTAGTTTTGAGAATTGTCAGAATTATACTGCTGTAAACATTTTACTGTCGTTGTTCCTTTGTATAAAGTCGATCTTACTGTTTTCTTTCCACAAATCACAGACAAAGACTGGGAAGAAATCCGCAAAATGCCAGAACACCCGCAACTGATGAGGGATTTCAAGAGGTCAAGGTGAGTGAGTTCCCAAATTTAGCAATGTATACACAAGTGGCAAAATTGAAGGCAAACGAGGCAGGGGTAGGCCCAGAGCAACCTACTTAGGGAACCTAAACAAACGGGTGACGGGGAAAGATCAGGGAAACGTAGCTTTTCTAAGACCATCCGAGCAAAGGAATGAATGGAGAACCATAATTGCCAATGTCTGTCGCAGATCTGGCACTGGATGATGATGATGATGAAAAGAAATGTGAACCAGCTTGGCTAATTTGAACAATCAGGTTGATGGGTGATTCCTTCTGCAGTTTCCCTGAAATGTTACAAGACTCACCTTAAAAGACTTCCTAGACTAAAACAAAAATGCCTGTTGATTGCTACGCAAAGAATGATCTTTCTGGACCCTTTCATTTGTTCAAGATATCGGATATATGCCAGGGACTTTTGGGGAATTGTTCTCCTTTCTTTCAGCTCATACTTTTTTAAACATATATACATTTCGTAATGTTGTTATTTGATTGAGTTGGTCTCAATATCTGAGATGCTCATTTCTTGGAAATACTCTCGAACCTGCCCTAACAGCCAACTGTGTAAGACAATTACCGGTTTTAATAGCCACTTCCCGTTTCCTCCCTTGTGTGTTTTTTACATTACGACTCTGTGTAAGACAATCACCTGTCCAATGTGGCCACTTATCTCCTCAACATGGGTGGCCGTCTTGCACAGTTACAACCGTACATCATTTCTTCTTAGATTAGGATTGCCATAAGCTTCAAGTTTGATGATATTACCATCTTCTACTCCAAGACAACTACAGTTGTTTTTTTGTTTTTCATTTATTTATTTATTTATTTTATTATTTATTAATTTATTTACTTTTTTGTTTCATCTATTTATTTATTTTATTTGGTTATTAATTAATTAATTTATTTACTTTTTTTATTTATCTATTTATCTTTCTTTTTTTTTATTCATTTATGTATTTATTAATTGGTTCTGTTTCCCCTCCAGTTATGTGAACTGTAACCTGATGAAGTACATGGAGAAGCACAAGGTCAAGGCGGACAGCAAAGCATTCCATCTGGTGTGTATCTCGATGACATTTAATTTTGTCGCACGTTTATTCCTTCCTCACTCGTGGGTAATAAGCTACCGCCATTTCCTCCGCTAAACTCTGTTACTCAGTACTGCGCCACCACTTTCTGTACATAATCAAGATTGAAAATATTTGGTAACTGACTCTTACTTGAAATTATCGTCCAAACCCTCAAATTGGTATGAAATAACCTTGCTTTGATAAGTTAATGGTTTTTATTTCAGCATTCTAGGGTTAAATAGTATAATAATGATAATGGGTGTCTCGCGAAAATGGTCTTCTGTCACGATTACGCAGAAAGCTCCTCCTTTTTTAACATTCTGAGTTGAGGCCCACGTCACTTCAGCTCTCTCACCACCCACACGTGAAGAGAGGGACAAAGAGCGGGGGGTTTTCCTGTTCCTTAGAATTACAGCCAGGGGATGTATACATAATCACTTCTTATGTTGCTTTATTATCACCACGTATTTTCTTGACGAGGGGACGTGGTTTGATTTTTCTGCTCTCAAAGTATTGTTGTCAAAGTTATAGAACTGAAGAAATTGAGATTATTATCTTTTTTGTGTGGTATGCTTTAAAAATTTTTAGTCTAATTTTTTTGTCTCTCATTCCCATACCCCCCGGGGCGGTGCCACTGACTGTAGTGTCTTTAGGCTATTCCCAAAGGGGGGACATTTCTCGTTCAAGCACAGTAGAATTGTAAATGGGCTGATTCATGTCACGCTCATAACTGTGCCTGATCTTCACCTGGGAACTGCTGCTTTTTGTTTCTTAATCCTTACTATTGTCATTTTCCTCTACTTCTTTTGTATGTTTGTCACTCTCTTGTGACCTGCTATTTCTGAGGTGCCTTGATAGTCGAAGCAGACCTTGTGCTGTTGAAGCTAGAGAGGCGAGCAGAATAAGTCTGATTCCCTGTAAAGACTTCTCTGTTGACACCCACCCCTTGGCGCTCATATGACCTTATGTAGTTGCGGGCGCCGTAAAACCTTCTACTATAAAAAAAAATATTTAAAAATATCTCATTCCCAAAATTCATTGGGTTTTTCTGTGTCATCATCATTGCCTTTTTCACCCTGCACCAGGGTATAGGCCACAGACAAACACCTTCCACCTTTCTCTATCCTGAACTAGCCTGTTGATGCTATTCCATGTCTTCCCACTTTTCCTTTCTTTGTGTGTTACTTCTGTCTAATTCTGAATGATGTGGGCAAAGAATACTTTTGTGTATGCCCCCGTCAATCTTACTCGTTCTAATGAGACAAGCTGTCCTGAATTTCCTTCCTTGCCGTAAAGACATGATTCAGGTTAGATTATGTTTGGCCCTCTTCTTTGCCTTTTGGATATTATTATTTCGTTTGTTAATTTCTCTTCTCAGTTCATATTTGTCTCCCTATCTGTACTCTCTTTAGTTTTGTTTTTTTCAGCATTTCTCTGTGGTTTTTATTTTTCTGTTTCTTTTGCTCATTTTACTCCATCTTTCCTCATTGTTTTTTCCATGTCATTTCTTACTTTTCAAGACGATGAAAGGTCACAATCTGAATTAATATATTTTTGTCATTTGTTTCAGCTACAAAAACTTTTAACAATGGACCCAACAAAAAGAATCACGTCTGAACAAGCTATGAAAGATGCCTACTTTGCAGAGGAGCCCACACCTTGCTCAGAGTATGTTTTGTACCTTTATTTTTGGGTTCTATTACTAGCATCTTCTGTACAATTTTCCTCCGTAATTTACTTTTCTCATATGACCTGTGGCTTCTTGGATTTTATTGGAAAAGTTTGTCAGTGATTAAAAGAGAAACTGTTCATCTGTGCAGCAATTTCAGCTGAGATTATAATTAATGATCTGTTGGCGCTTTTTGTTTGTTTGTTGGTTTTGGGGGTTTTTGGGGGGTTTTTTTTTTATTTTACTCGGCAAGACTTCATTTATCACTGAATTTTTGAGTTATGTTGTATATATGCAGGGGATATAGGCTAAGCTGCATTATTTGCATTCATACGAATATGGAGTTTGTTGGTATGGCCCTTTCTGGGTTAAAAGATTTATTTTTTTTAGCTTTGATAGCTCTTCTTATCCCCTGGTGGAAAAGATTTTCGTGTTTGAAGAGACCGTACTATGTAGAATAGGTTGCAAAATTTCTCCATAGGCCTTACTTGTGAGTTGATTTATGTACTGTGTTGAAAATACTGACAAAACTGATGTACTTTGACTCATGTCAACTTTACTGCGGTATTAATTTTGCAGGTGATTATCATAAATAATATTCATCTTAATTTTGTTTTTGCGCTATGTGGTTCCAAATAGGTAATCTTGTTTCTTTTTTTTATATATTTCCAGTGTTTTTGAAGGCATGCCCATTCCATATCCCAAACGAGAATTCATATCGGACGACGACAACGATGACAAGTCGGACACAAACAAAGTGAGTTGTTCTGGGTACGGCAGTTCTCCTGGCACCACCGTAGGCTGGAGGATAGGAGGAGCGTAGGAACATATTGACTAGTTGAAAGGAAATAGTGATCTGATAAAGGATGGAACGTAGGAACATATTTACTAGTTGTAAGGAAATAGTGATCTGATAAAGGATGGAACGTAGGAACATATTTACTAGCTGTAAGGAAATTGTGACCAGATAAATGATGGGCTCAATTTGCTCGGCTTTTATAATTTTGCCTTCTTTCTCCAAGCCCCATGTGATAGGGTCTTCAAAGAGATGAGCTGTATGTGGGGGGGGGGATGTTATTTGGGGAGGCGGGGGAGGGGGGGGGTTTCAGCTCATAAATGTACTCTACTCAGGTGTGATCGTACTTAAAATAATCAAGCTTACTCTTTCTGTACTCTGTTTTAAATTGCTCTCTTTTTCTTCGTTGTTTTTGCTTAAGAATGAGATGTCTGCCCTGTTGGTTTGTTAAAAGTCTCATATTTTAGACCTCAGTTGTTCTAAGATGAACAGAGAATAGATTTATGAGGAATGATAGAATGAATCTCATATGCGGAACACTGGTGCAAGTCTCTATTTGTGTCTCGCGGTTAATGTGATTTGGAGGTGGGAAGTGGGGTTGGGGGGGGGGGGGGTAGGAGGGAGAGAGGAGAAGAGAGAGAGGGAGTTGAGCATCTCATCAACTGAAATGAAGAACTGATGAGATTCCCAGCTCTATCGACAGCTAGAGACTTGCACCAGGGTAGAACAGTTCCGGTTTTCCGCGTCCACCCCACTACTTCTGACCTCACCCTTGAAGCGTCGGTGTATTCCCCAGCAACAGGCGGCCGTCGGGGCCGGCGCCGGAGCAGGAAATAACCAGAGCTCGGACCACAACCAGCCCCCCGCCAAGCGACCGCGCATCGCCACCACCACCAGCAGCAACTCAATGGTCTCTGGTGACTTTCAGGTCGGAGGTTTCGATGTTGTCAGCGGCATGTATATATATATTATGTGTATACTTGCTACACAACTCAGCCTTCCGTCTGAATGGTTTTTTTTGCCCCTTTTTTTGTTTCGGTTTTGTTTGACAGTGCGTTGTGGTTTTTGTCTTTCTCTTGTGATATCCCTTTAAAAAGTTATGACATTTGGATAATGATTTGTTGAATCTCTAAGATTTCAGAAGAAAAAAAATGAACTGCTGCGTAATGGTAGTGAAACTTTGTCTTTTCTTGATTCACAAAATGCTGATGAGTTTTTAGCTCATAAAGAATTTTGACAGACAGTTTGAATATGCCATGTTAAACGAGAAAAATATTTTTCTGCATGTATTCTTGTGTGCTTTTGAAAAAGCATTTCATAACTTTTCAAAAGGATGTCTTTGTTGTGTGTGTGTTTTATTTTATGCGTTTTGGTCAACCATGCTGTGTGTGTGTGTGTTAATTATATCACCTGTGTGTGTTTTCCTCTGTTGATTGTTTGTGTAGTTGTGTTTGTGGTTATTGATTGTTTGTGTAGTTGTGTTTGTGGTTAATTCATAGTGGTGATTGTCTTTTCTTTCGCTCTAGATTTTCTAATTAAGTTTTTTAATAGTCATGAAACCTCAAAGGGGTATTATCTGTCTTCCTCCTAAAGGTGAATATTTCTTTCTGTTTGTGGTTTATGTCTTATTTAGCTTGACAAAAGTAGTTTTCAGGTAGGCTATACGAAAGTCTCCAACTCAGTTGCAGTCAGCAATTTAGTTTCATAACTCTATTTAATAATTTTTAGATCCACTTATGTCATAATGCTATGTTAAAAAAAAATATAGTTTGGTAGAATTTAGAATAAATTGAAATGTCCCTCGCAACTTCTGTGCCTGAGAAGGCTTTTGTGGATAGTAGGCAAGCTTGCTTTTTTTGCTTGTTCCTCATACCCCTTTTTTGTAAAAGTTTTCTTTGTCCTGTTCAGTTTCCTTTTTATATAATAATAATAATAGATAGCATTTGTATAGCGCATATCCCCGCTCAACAGCAGGCTCTATGCGCTTTACACTATATTATTACCCCAGCAGACCACAGAACACTCCGAAACATTCTCAGCTTCCCGGGAAGCATACAGTGCAAGCAGCTGATTAAGCGCCTAAACACTAACAAACTGACAAGATCTTTCGCTGTCTATAGCCGGGTACCCATTTCCACCTGGGTGAAGTGAGGAAAATTCGTGTAAAGTGCCTTTCCCAAGGACACAACGTCGGATCCCTGACGGGATTCAAACCCACGACCTTACGGTTGCGAGTCCGAGAGCCTAACCACTAGGCCACTGACACCACACATATAACTTGACATCTCTCCAGTAAGAAGCATCATTAACTTTTGCAATCATATAAATGGGTCTTGTGGCGATTTGTGTAACACGTCTAATCTTCGGCACTTATTTGACCTTATTGTGTTGCAAGTGCCGTAAAACTCTTACGAGAAAAAAAAAGAAGACAGATTTGTTTTGTTGTTTAAGAGTGATTGCCAGCCCACTTTCATTTCACCTGTGAAAATTAAGCCTTGTAGAGTCAAGACATTTTTTCATGTAGAGGCTAGATGTGCAAGTATTTGAAAGCAGCCGGGTCTTGTTATACTGCAGATGAAGTGATAGAATAAGAACACAATTTGAATATTGTGTTTGAGTTTATATTGAAATATATGTCTAATTCTTTTATCATTTTGAATGGGTAGATAGTAGACCTGTTTTCATTACTTCATTATATGGACAGATCGTCGGTAGATAGGCCTACTTTCATTCCCTCATTATAAGGGTAGACAGTAGGTAGGCCACCTTTCATTCCCTCATTATAAGGGTAGACAGTAGGTAGGCCACCTTTCATTCCCTCATTATAAGGGTAGACAGTAAGTAGGCCAACTTTCATTCCCTCATTATTTGGGAAAAGGGAAGGTAGGCTTGCCTGTGTGCTCCTCCACCTGTTATTTCCCTATACTTGAGTTATCTACCTTCACTTTCTTCTGTCCTCTATTTCTCAGTGACAGAACTAAATCCTTCTCCTGTACAAAGCCTAGGTGCTCTTTCCTGTCTGTCTTAGCAAAGGTGATGTTGAAGACTGCGTGCCTGGGCAGGGTGCTTCTGTGGCCTTGAGGTTAAGGTGTTCGGCCTCTCATTCAAAGGTCCCGGGTTCTGATCCCGGTAGCGACCGAAAAATTTTCTTCTCTAAAATTGTCTCCTTTCACCTCCTTTCCTGCTTTTTTAACAATGTTCTGTCGTCTGCTTTCGTCTCCTTTTTCTGCCCCCACTCCCTCTCCTCCTTTGCCCCATCCTGTGGGCTCCTGACTCTTTCTGCAGCCTTTCTACTTCTACTCCTTGGCTCCTCCTTACTGCTGTCTTTCTGCCACACCCCTGGTCTTCTGGAAGGAAATATCTACACCTAGCCTTCTCTGACAAGGGCGAAAAATCCCAGAGGTCCTGTGTGCACGTTGCGCACGTTAAAGATCCCTTGTTGGTCTAAAATCGATAAGAGTAGGCTTTTGCCGCCACTCGGGCAAAACTCAAAAAGGCTTTCAAATCATAGTTATTGCCTGAGACTGATTGTGATAATGACCAACTTGAGGCAAAAGAAATGCTTTTCTAAGTAAGCTGTTGAGAATTTCTTGGAAGGAAAAGAAATCAAATTAGGTGGCACCTAAAGAAGCCCATGTCGCCTGTTATTACTAAAAAGGAGTTTGTAACTTTTGAGAGGGGAAAAAATCAGTCTACGGTTTTAAGGATTCTCAGAGGGCTGTTGGAGGGCACCTTTGATGGGTCCTTCTGTTCTTTCCCTCTTTGTTGTTTCTGTCTGTTTATCTTGCTTTTTTTATGAGCACTAATTGAGTGGGTGGTTGGCGGGTGTTCTGGTGTGGTTTGCTCCTTCTTTCCTATAAAAAATCTATCGTCTCTATCTCCCCTCCTTCTTTTTTGTGTTTGTTACTCTCTTGTAACACCTCTAATCTTCGGCACTTATGTGATCTTATTGTGTTGCCAGTGCCGTAAAACTCTTACTAAAACTAAAAAGCACTAATTGACTGTTAGTGTGTGGGTGTGCTCCTCTTATTTAACTCAAACAAAAAAAGGGATTGTTTCTTAAAATGTTTAATAGATATTCATGAACTTGGACATAAACAATCATTCAATCTCTCTCTCTATCTCCCTCTCTCACTCTCTCTCTATCTCCCTCTCTCTCTCTCTCCCTCTCTCTCTCTCTCTGTATATATATATTTGGGGTTTTTTAAAATTTAATGTCATGCACAGGTGTTGTCTCGTATTCAAAATTGTGGGATTTTTTTTTTCTCAACATTCCAACTGTGTTTCTAGTTGTCAATTTTCCACCAGGAAGGGTTGATGAAGCGACTGTATTATGTTATTTTAATTTGCTTCATAGCACTCAGGTGACCAGACTGTGTTGTTGAGATCATAAAATCTGTAGTAAACATCAGTTTTAATTGTTAAAGCATGGCTCATACTGTGCCAGAACAACATGGGGGGAACTGCTGCTTTTTCTTTCCACATCCTTATTATTGTCATTTTTTTCCTCTACTTCTTTTGCATGTTTGTCACTCTCCTGTGACCTGCTATTTCCGAGGTGGCTTAATAGTCAAAGCAGACTTTGTGCTATTGAAGCTAGAGAGGTGAGCAGAGTAAGCCTGATTCCCTGTAAGGGCTTCTCTGCTGACATCCACCCCTTGGCGCTCATATGACCTTATGCAGTTGTGAGCGCCGTAAAACCTTACTAAAACAAACAAACAAAAAAACATTTATCATCTTTATCTCCCTGCACTCTGTGTTTGTTACTCTCTTGTAACACCTCTCATCTTCTACGCTTATTGTGTTCCAAGTGCTGTAAAACACTTACTAAAATAAAAATAGCAAAAAAAAAGTTTGTTTCTTATGCAGGAGCTTTTCTCTCCTCTCCCATTTCTGTGTCATTTCAGTGTTTCTGGGATCACTTTCCGCCCTACATGCGAGGCGTCGAGACTTATACTTGTTACCCTCAGGTTCCCCATGGGCAGCTGGTAGTCGGCTTTACGTCTTTGTTTTGTTGCTGAAAGTTTAATGTTCGGGCGTTGATTTGTTACTGAAATTTGTTGAAAATGTTTCGCCGTTCTGTTTGTTGAAGTGTTGGTTATGTTATCTTATCTGAGAACATTTTCCACGGGCACACTTTTGTTTTTGGAGTTTGTGCTCTCGTGGACCACTGCTATCTTTCTGCAGAGATTTTTACATTTCAGACAACTTGAATTCAGACCTTGAATTTTTGCCTGCTTGAACATGTCTAAATCATAATTTTGTTTTCTGGGATCACTTTCCGCCCTACGTGCGAAGCGTAGAGACTAACACTGGTTACCCTCAGGTTCCTCATGGGCAGTTGGTAGTCAGCCTTATGTCTTTGTTCTGTTGCTGAAAGTTTAATGTTCAGGCGTTGATTTGTTACTGAAATTTGCGAAGCGTTTCGTCGTTCTGTTTGTTGAAGTGTTGGTTTTATGTTATTTTATCTGACAACATTTTCCACGGGCACATTTTTGTTTTTGGAGTTTGTGCTCTAGTGGATGGACCACTGCTGTCTTTCTGCAGAGATTTTAAAATTCAGACCTTGAACTTTAACATGCATATCTAAATCATGCGGGCAACTGCTGCACGGCACATGGTTTACAGTGATAGGCAGATTTTTTGTTTTAATATCCGTGGCTTTTCGACATTTGCAACTCTTTATCTCTCGCGGTCTTTTTTGTTGGGTTATTTGTTGTTTTTTCATCTAGTCGACCAGAATAATCTGTATTAAGAGATCTCTAAGTAAAAAAAGTTGTCATTATCAACACGATTTATTCAGATTGTGGCTATGATAAGCGCTGTTAGAAGATTGCCAATAGAGGGAAAAAGTGGAGAACGCAGTGAATAGTTTTCCAAAAACCAAATCGTATAAACAGTCCTGGACTTGCCCTGTTGCGAGCGCCATGAAACTGCCGTGCTCTGACAAAACGTCTTTTTCTTATTCACAGTGGTTACGAGAAATCAACAATTTTGGGTTTTCCTAAAAATAACTGTCGAGCATAGGCAATAACATTCTCTTCAGGGTGCGAGATCAACCGTTGATGTACTGTGCAAAATAGTTTTAATGTTACAAGAAAACAAAAAAATGCTGATTTCTTGAAAGTGCTGCGAATAATAAGAGAAAGGCGTTTTGTCAGAACAGCAGAAAACTCTTACTAAACTTACTAAAACAGTCCTGTTGTGTGCTACCCTTGGATATGGTCTAATTTGGTAAACTGGTTGTCAAGAAAATCTTTCTGCTCTCCACTTTTGTCGTCTGTTGAAAAGTTTCCAATAACAGAAATGGGAGAAGACAGTCACCAAAGCTTACCCTGTTTCATCTTTAAATTATATGTAATTGTTAAACTAAGTGCTACTTTAATTGTAGAAGAAAAATATGAATATCTTTCTTTTCTCTTTGGGAGAAAAAAAGAATGTGAAAATGTTTCAATTTTTTTTGGGCAGCTATGTATCGAGTGCTTAATTTGAGATAACAAAAATACTTTTCTGAGATCTTCCCAGGTGGTTGCCGGCCTTTCCTCTGTCTAGGATGCAGTAAGGATAAGATTACCACAAACACGCCTTCTCTTACTGTCAATCCATTGAGCTGTACAAACTATATTAAAGTAACATAACACACCTTCTGTTACTGTCAATCCATTGAGCTGTACAAACTAGATATTATTCAAGTACCACACTCTGCAGTATTTTTATTTTTTGTTTTGCTGTGATCCTCAGAGGTTGTTTTTTTCGTGTGTTCCTGTTCTTGAGCTTTGGCCCCGTCTTTGAGCATGTTTTGTGTTGAGAATAGCCTTGTGTTCCTTTGACATTTCTCTACTTTAAAATTACCAAATCCTATCTACTTAGTTTTTAGTTTTGAGAAATTTGACTACTTTAAAAATGTTTGTTTCACAATATTATGTCAAGCTTTTTCGAAAGCAATTCTTTGAACTTTTTGATAACATCTCTGAATAATCTTATGATTTTTATGAAAAGATAAAACATTTGGTTTCTGACCCCATGGTCTTAGTAACTCAAAACAGCCAAAAATGTCAGATAGAACATTGTAACTCTGAGGTAGCGAGTTGTAGTTGTGTTCCCTTTGATTGCTTTTACAATTTTCTTCAAGGACTCCCAAATTAGCCACAGCTGGGAACTGGTTTTTTTCCTGTGGCGCTTTTTCAGACTACCGAGGAGGATAGGGAACTGTAGGGTCCCTTTCTTCCTCTCCTGCCCAATATATGGGAATATTTTGGTGCCTTATTAATTGTGTCGCTATGTCATGAGTATTCACCATTACAAAGAAAACTGCCATTTTGTGTGACATTTAAGAGTCTTACTGCCAGTATTTTTATAGTTCTGAGATGTCATTCTCTTGTAGCTGTGGAGATTTTACTGTGGCAAAAAGTTAAGAGTTAAAATACGAATTTCAGCCATGACTTTTCTCTTCTGAAGATGTTTCTTTACTTGAGTTTTAACGTTTGTCTTGTGTAGAAAGATCCATCAAAGTGTAGACTTTGGAAAGAACAAAAAAAGCCAAGTGATTCTTTTTTTTCTTTAACTTTAGTGCAGACTGCTTTCAACATGGAAGATGTAGACATTCTTTTCAATCAGAGTTCTCTTTTGCTGGTAGTGTTAGTCCTGCTTCAGATTTGCTTCCTCTAGGGTTATGATCTGTTTGTTTTTTGTTGTAAGATGTTGAGCTCATACAAGACCAAACATGTCCTTGGGTGGTTGGCGGGTGCTCTGGTGTGGTTTGCTTTCTTCTTTCCTTTCCAACATCTGTCATCATTATCTCCCCTCCTTCTTTTTTTGTGTTTATTACTCTCTTGTAATACTTCTAGTCTTCGGCACTTATATGACCTTATTTTGTTGCAAGTTCCGTAAAACATTTTTAAAAAACAAAAAAACGTGTCCAGTTTGTAAAGTTTGCCTTTTCTCCCTCTGTGCTGCACATGTTGTGGTAATGGCAATTATCCATTTGTGTATCTTTGTTTCTTGCAAGGTTTTGAGCTCATTCCAGACCAAATAAGTGCTGTTTGTAAATTTTGCCATTTCTCCCCCTCTGTGTGGCAGCATGTGCACACTTTTCAAAATTATCTTTTGTTGTTAGTGTTAGTCCTGCTTCAGATTGGCATCCTCTATTTTAATTATCTCTTTGTGTATTTGTGTTTTGCTGAGGGATGTTGAGCTCATTCCTGACCAAATCAGTCCCGTTTGTAAAGTTTGTCTTTCCTTCTCTCTCTGTGTTGCAGCACGTGCACACTATGCAAGGCGGCGCGGGGAACCAGCAACAGGGCATGAGCTACACGTCGGGCGGGAACACACAGCAGACTTCCTCTTCCTCCACCTACGGACCACGGTTGATATAACGTGGCGCGTCGTGTGTGCGTGCTACAGGGTTAAAAGTATTGGCAGACCTTGGCAGGGTCAAGAAGAAGATGGGTAGGGATAGTTGGGGGGGGGGGGGGGGGGGGGGGGCTCCACAATATTTTAATTTTGGGGGGGGGGGGGGGGCATGTGAATATGTGTACATTGTGGAAGTGTGGATAGAATTGTACAGTGCTTAGATTTGATATTTTGATATCATGATGTGGTGTGGGTATGAGAATGAGAGATAAGTGTGAGAGGGAATGCAGGCTGGCTTTACTTTGTCTTTCCTGTTGGTATGTCAAGTATGTGACTTTTAATTCTTTCCAAAGGTCAGTGAGCAACTTCTTAGGTTTTTAACACACACACTCACACACACACACGCACGCACACACACACACACACACACACACACACACACACACACACACACACCCAAAGTATGTCCCGAAGACTTAAATTCTGTTGCTGAACGAAAACTTTGGGTCATGCCATTTATACAGTCAGTGAAACAGGGAATGCATGAATGAAGGATGAGAAAGTGTATAAATATGTGTGCATGATATGTGTCACGATGCGGTGGAATCAGGTGCGCATCAATTTTTGCCCCTGTGGAGTTGTTTGTATCATCTGAAACCTTGTTCATTTGTCGTGCCTTTGAAGGAAAAAATACCCCTTTATCTGGAATAGAAGTCGACATATATGCAATTGAAGGAGGTAGAGGTCGCCTTGTTTCAGAGGTTGAATTAGGGAGAAAATTCCCACAAAGTTTGGTTATTTCCAGTTTGAGAGCCCGTTGTAACTGAAAACTTAATTTTTTTGTGTTTTTATTCTTTTTTTTTTTTCCAGTAAAAGCCATACAGAAATGTGTTCTTGAATGGACGTAAGAAATGTTGAGCCAAAAAACAAAAATTCTATAAAAATTGCCAAACACGCCGAAAACTGCCTATTTTCTTCGATTTCATTATTTTGACGAGCGCCTGATTTCACCCCGCTGCCTCACATATGGTCTGTGTATGTTTGATCAAATACATCATGTAGATATTTAAGTGGACAAGAAGGTATGATATGATGAGTAAATGTTTTATGTAGGATGAATGTCATGTAGCCTACCTGAATGGTCAGTATGTATTTTATCATGTTGTCTATAGCAGCACATCGTGTGAAGACGATGACCTTGGTATGGTCTTCTTGTTTCCACCCCTGTCTTTTTCTTTTATTTGTCTGACTTTTACCTCACATAGTGAGATTATTGTACATGATTTCAAAAGTTCCCTCTTCAAATTTCAAATTAATCTTTTGAAACATTTTTTGATTTTTTAATGATTTTTTTGTTTTGTTAACAGCTTCCATTCAGCTAACAAATTCATTAGTCGCATTTGTTAAATATAATATAGTATTGACTGATTAAAAGAACTGTAAGACATGTAAAAGTAATTTGTAGAACTGTGTTACCACCTTTGTAATTTGTGGTATCAGTTGCAAGTATCTGGGGGATATTTTGTCGAAATTCAAATTCTAAAAGTTTGAAAAGAACCCAGATATGCATAATTAAGGTACAGTTTTTTAACAGAATGAAATATTTTCTCTGTCCTGAAAAATCTGCTTTCTGAGCTTACACAACAATGGAACGGCTTGCTAATGACGACTGTACATGTGTACCACCTCAGGGTTCCAACCATGACTATTTTTAGCATTTTAATATCTATGGTGGTATGCTCCAACCATATAGTAAAGCTGGTTTCCTTCTCATTTAACACTTTGCCGTCACATCTCGCCGATCGGCAAGACCACCGAACTTCCACTCCCGTCACAAAACACCGATCGGCGATGTTTTACCACTCAGTTTCTTTGGATTTCCCTCAAAACTCAAAACGCTTGTGATGGCAAGGGTTTTTACTAGGAGCCTTGTGATGGCAAAGTGTTCACTGATGAGAGGTGACAGAAGGGTCAGTCCACAAGACTGATGCTATTTCTGGCTAATGCTGACTCCTGGGTTTTGTGAAGGGGCTGCAGATTATTAACCCCAGCAATGGTCACCACAGAACAAAAATAGCATTGACCCTGTTTCTTCCGGTTACGAGGTTAGAGATAACAACAATATCCTGTAATACCTGCAGATATGTTGGCTTATTGATCATTATCAGTAGCAGTTCTGAAACATTGTCCAGTTATTTTGAAACTGTTTAACACTTTCACTTCCTGTTTAACGGAGTAAACAAGTAGTCCAATCAGCAGCCCAAAGGCAGTGTTGTGCAAGGCTTTTTTCATTTTGCATCACCATATTCAAATCAGAAACACAAATATGCACATAATTTCATTTTAAACATGCTGTTGCCTGACTTTTAGCGTTCAGAATATATGAAAACAAAATTGAAAATTCTGCATAAAAACAAAGTTATGCTTCTTTATTTTTTTTTATTATTTTTTTTGGTGAAAGTAAAGTGTTGGCAAATAGCCAGACTTTGGGTCCTCAGTGAGTTATTCATGTAAAAAAAAGTGAGAGTGAAGAGAGAATTTCGTTATTGTGTGTCAGCTATCAGTACTTTATTTTATTAGACCACACGGTAGTACATACCATACTGATTTTAAAAATATTTCAACTGTTGTTCAAATGCAAAAAAGTGAGAGTTGAGACTGAGAGTGAATTTCATTTCAATGTATTGTATTAAATTAATACATGGTATTTTATTTTGTATAGACTACTTTCAAATACCAGTAAATCTAATTTTGTGTAGATTTTAGTCTTGTTATTTCTTTCTTTCTCTGCGATGGTTGTTTGTGTATGTCTGCCAATTCAGTTGTTGGTGTTTTTGTTTGTTTAGGATTGGCCTAAGTGTGTAGTTGTGTGTGTGCATGTGTATATATATTTTTTTATGTGTATATGTGTATTGTGCACATTATGGGTGTGAGGTGTGTGTGTGCTTTAAGTTCATCAAGCTATAATTCCAAGTCTGCTTCAAGTGTGTCTGTTGGGAAGATGTTTTTTGTGGATAAATGGTGTAGCCTACCAGGAGGAGTGAAGGAAGAAGGCCCATTTTAAGTTAGATTATAGTGACCAAATCTCTCAATTTATTTTGAATCCCCCCTCACCCGCTCCAGCCTCTACTTCTTCAACATTCAGTGGCCACACATACTCGATGGGCTTCCAACGTTCGAGGTGTTCCACTTTCCCTTATACTGTAGACATTATTGCTTTGTGTGGCACCGCATGGCGCTTTTTTTGACCGAGCTGAAAATTCCTGTATAGTAATAGTAATTAATTTGTACGACCTAATTGTGTTGCGAGTGCCATTAAACTTTAACTCTTTCTAAAACTAAAGCTAAAACGAATCGAACCATCATCTTTTTCTTCTCGATCGCATCACACTTGTAGTGCGGTATCTGTCAGATTATAATTACACTGTGCTGTCTTGCTCAGTTCTGCACCGATAAACAAACCACAGCTTCTTAAACATTTACTTGATTTACCCCCAGCCTCAGCCTGTTTCTAAAGTAAAGTCTCTTTTTGGGTGGTTGGCGGGTGCTTTGGTGCTGTTTGCTTCTTCTTTCCTGTCAAACATCTGCAGTGGGTGCTTTGGTGTGGTTTGCTTCTTCTTTCCTATTAAACATCTATCGTCCTTGTCTCCTCCTTCTTCTTTTTTTATGTTTGTTACTTTCTTGTAACGCCTCTATTCTTCTGGCGCTCATATGACCGTATGCAGTTGCTAGCGCCGTAAAACCTCTACTAAAAACTTTTTTTTTTTAAACATCTGCAATCTGTCGTCCTTATCTCTCCTCCTTTTTTGTGTTTGTTACTCTCTTGTAACACCTCTAATCTTCGGCACTTATATGAACTTACTGTGTTGCAAGTGCCGTAAGACACGTACTATATAAAACAAAAAAAACAAAAAGTTTCTTCGAACAGGCCTACGTCTTCGAATGAAAGCCTCCCAGCACAAGCATAGACTCAAGTCTACACGACACACACACACAGTCAAATATACACGCACATGTATAAAGTTGCAACATTTGATACATAGGAGCTTGTTCAAGTAGAATCTAGTAGACTGTAGCCTAAGCTTGCAGTTGCAGGGGTGTGAGTAGTGGGAAGCTAATGGTGGCATGCGACACGACATACGAGACGATGCGACATAAATCTGTCACAACACAGCACGTCGATTACCCCCAGCCTCAGCCTGTTTCTAAAGTTTCTTCAAATAGGCCTTCGTCTTCGAATGTAACTAAGTCTCCCACTACTCCCAGCACAAGCATAGACTCAAGACTCTACATGATACACACACAGTGTCAAATACACGCAAATGTACGCGGGTGGTTGTCGGGAGCTCTGGTGTGGTTTGCTTCTTCTTTCCTGTCAAACATCTGTCGTCCTTATCTCTCCTCCTTCTTTTTTATGTTTGTTACTCTCTTGTAACACCTCTAATCTTCGGCACTTACAGGACCTTATCGTGCTGCATGTGCCGTCAAACACTTACTAAAACTAAAATACATGTAGGCCCTACATATGAACTTGTTTAAGTAGCCCGTAGCCTAAGCTTGCAGAGGGGCGTGTCGTGTGAAGTGTGAAGCTAATGGCATACGACACGACACCAGACAATGCGACATAAATCTGTCACGACACGGCGCGTCGTTTAACTCTTTCAGAATGCAGCAGACACATTTATTGATGCTGCTATTATGATTATTATTATTATTGTGTCCTATATCATTACTATCAAAGTAGCAGACCAGAGGCAAAGCTGCGGCACATTATGGACCATCATCCTCAAAAAAGGAACACGAATTTGCATATATTTCACAACGTAGTAATAATAATAATGTTGTTATATGCTTGGAGTAACTATATAGGGAGAGGCCCTAACGTTGCGTCGCCCGCTCAACAGTTCCAACCAAGTTGAAGCCGAAAGGGCG